GCGCGAACAGGAATGCTAGCATGGGGTGGGCGTCTGCAGCCTGTTTGCGCATGTGCTGCTAGCCCGGGCAGTTTGCGTGGCCTGTTTGTGCATGCATGAATAGGCCACTAGCCGCACAGTGCAGGAGTTGAAGTCCACAAGTCTTTTTTTTTTTTTTTTTTTTTGTGGTGTCTACCATACCTATATTCCTCCCTTTTTTCCCTTTATGGATAAAAAAACTCAATAAAAGTTTGAAGTCCACAAGTCTTAAAGTTGCCAAGGTTGAGGACCCCTGCACTAGGATCCCTGGATCCCTGCAATACGTTTCATTTTCTTGCTACAGCTCAGGTGGGGCTGAATCATCAACCCTATGGATTTTTGGGAGGCTAAAAGTTACAAATAAGAAAAGAGAAACGCTAGGGGGGAAAAAAAAACCCTGTTTCCTTAAACCTTCCACTGCATTTGTTCTTAATATGCGTGCAGGTATAAATCAGCAGGAAAGGGAACCCATTACAAGAAGAGAAAGCACAGCCAATTAATCTACCAGCTGCTCTTAAAAAGGATTTCTGCTTCCCCTCCTCCTCACCCCATAGCTGGTTTCAAGAGAAGGGCTGGGAGCTGTTCCTCCTTCTCGCCTCCTTTGCCCTTCGGAGCGCTGGGAAGGCAGAAATGTCCTTTTATAGGCCTACGGCTGAGTTTCCATGAGCTCACAAGCCGACATGGGAAGAAATGAAAGAGGGTGAAGCAACGATGCTGCTCACCCATGGTCAGTGGAAAGCAGCCCCCAAGAATGCTAACACGCTGATAAAGCTCTTCAGAATTAGAACATATAGACCAGTCAGTGGTTCTCAACCTGTGGGTCGGGACCCCATTTGGGGTCAATCGACCATTTCACGGGGGTCGCCAAGCAAGGCTGTCCGCCATTTTTTTTGTCTGCCATTTTTTTTGTCCGCCATTTTTTCCCCCTTTTCCGGCGGGTGCCTTACCTCCCTTGGGCTGGGCCAGCTGGTGGTCGGCCTGCTCCGTCTCTGCCGCTTGCCAGCTACGCCTCGGCCGGCGCAGGGGGCAGAAACACGCATGCGCGGCACTCCCGGGCAGGAAAAGTCCTCGACTTACGACCGGTTGGGTAGTCCTCGACTTACGACCGATTGGGGTCGCGGCATTAAAAAGGTTGAGAACCACTGGTATAGAGAATAATAGAGTTGGAAGGGACTTTGGAGGTCTTCTAGTCCAACCCCTTGCTCAAGCAGGAGAGAGCCCTACATACCATTTCAGACAAATGGCTGTTCAGCCTCTTCTTAAAAAGCCTCCAGTGAGGGAAGCAGATTCTGAAGGCAAGCTGTTCCACTGGTTAATTGTTCTGTCAGGAAATTTCTCCTTAGTTCTAGATTGCTTTTCTCCTCGATTAGTTTCCATCCATTGCTTCTTGCCTTGCCTTCAGGTGCTTTGGAGAATAGGCTGATCCATCTTCTTTGTGGCAGCCCCTCAAATATTGGAACACTGCTATCGGCACCCTTAGTCCTACTTTTTATTCAACTAAACTTACCCAATTCCTGCAACCGTTCTTCGTTAAGTTTTAGCCTCCGGCCCTGAAATCAGCCTTGTTTTTTTGATTGGAAGGGCCAGAAAAGAAGAAAAATTTATCTTCTATGTAACCACTTTCATCTAGGGAGGGACAACTTGGTGGAAGCAGAATTTATCCATGGGAGGGAGGGGGAATTCCAGAAAAGACACTTGGAAGCAACTCATTTGTTTGTTCATTTGTTTGCAATCTTATCCCAATATATCTTTGCTTTTCTTTCTGTCTTGTTGTTCAGTGATTTTGCCCTCTGTTCTTTTCTGCATCTATAACATGAAATCCCTCTCCGGAATAATCTCCGATATCCTCTTGGTCTTCCTTTTTCGCCTTCCCCAATTCTGACCTAATCAAGGTTTTTATTTTTCAGCCTTCAAGTTTGGGCTTTCCTGCATTCCCACCTTAAGCAGCTCGACTCTTCCGTGCATAAAATGGCTGCCAACGAAGCTGGTTGAAGAAATCTCTTTCTGGATTTCAGCTCTTTCTTCCTTCTGGCCAAGGAGGGGAGACCTGGCGTTCTCTCTGGATGGTGGGAACCACAGCTGAGGATGGGTGGGCATCTCCTTTTTCCTCATCCTTGCTGGGGAAAGCAAAGGAAGTGATTTCCTATCCATTGAAAAGTGTTTTGAGAACGTGTGGTTTAGACTGAGAGGTCCTTGGTAGGCATCTCAAACGTGCTTTTTTTTTTCAAAAGGCAACTGAATTATGTTTTTTTTCCCCCTTGAGGGAGAAAACATTTTGCTTCTCATCCAAGAAGCTTCTTCGGTTCTGACTGGATGGTGTGTGTGTGTTTGGGGGCGATGGGGAATAGAAGGACTATATTTCTTTGCAGTCATCTGGTTGTTAGTACTCTCCCCAAGAGCTCTTGAGGCCACTTGAGGGTTTATCTGATTCAAGAGTGCAAATGGGAGTGGGATCTTCTTGGATCTGCTGTGTTGTAAACGGGAGATAGGTGGTGTCATATCCCTCCCCTTCTGTTGAGAGAAGGCTGTTAACTTCGATGGCCTCTTTTACTCCTCTTTCAAAGAGTTACTTTTTGAAAAAGCACCTTTGAGACAACCATGACCTGGGATGACTGAGAATCTCCATAGACCAGGGGTCTTCAAACTTGGCCCTTTTATGACTTGTGGACTTCAACTCCCAGAATTCCTCAGCCAGGCACGGGAATTCTGGGAGTTGAAGTCCACAAGTCACAAAAGGGCCAAGTTTGAAGACCCCTGCCATAGACCCTTGGTAGGAGCCCCTCCCCTCCGTTAACTCCCCTTTGACTTGACCCCTTCCGGTCCAATTCAGCCACTGGTGGAGCTGTAGAACATAGGTAGCCCCCAAAGCAGAATAAATTACCAGTGTTGGAGGGAGGCCAACCAACTAGGAACACAGCATTGACCAACTAGGAACAAACACAGCACACCGAGCCTGTTTTTTTCCCACCCTTTCTTCTTTTATCATTTTATTATTAGTATAAAAATATTTGTACATTTCCGTCAAATAAATACATTTTAATAACAAATAAATTACAGTTGAGGGCAGGACAACTCAGCTGGGAAAACAAGGGCGTGTGTTCCTTATGTACATAGTAGTGTTTTCATGAAGGTGGTGGTCCAGGAAGAAGTAGAACGAACACCTGGTGATAATGGAATGAAAAGCATGCGGGATACGAAAGGGGGTGATCACGCAGACAATTTCAACGCCGGGGTTGAAATGAACGTAGGTAATTGCATGCTCCCTACGGAAAATGGAGGGCAGAAGAATCCGGTTCCGTTCGTTTCTTTCGAAAGGGCCACTCTCTTTCTCGCTCTCTGACGATCTCCGATTGTATTCACACAACACGTTTAACCTCTCGTGGCCGATTTCAATCACATTCTGCATTCGCCCGGTACAGTGAACCCTAAATTCACCAAATTGGGGAGGGGGGGTTGGGCTTGCACATTCACCCTAAAACGAACCAAGGTTGCCACCAAGTTGGGTGTCTGCATCTGCAAAAGTTTTCTCTGGACCCAGTGAAGCAGCTGGGGCAGACAAAGCCCTTCTCTCTCTCTCTCTCTCCCACACAAACACAAACACACGCACAAGATTGACTGGTAGGAACCAAATGTCACATGTGTTATGACACTGGAGGATGCCAGAGAATGTAATCTGTGGGATGAAGCAATGTGATGGCACTTGTTTCCCTTAATCCGCCCGCAGAAGACCATCATGCTCGCGGGCATGAGCGTGCAAACACACAAAACTTCCTGACGTCGCATGTATCCCTCAGTAAGGGGGCCTGGGACACTACGAAGGGGATGTGAAATAGCCCGATGGCACATTTTTGGAGCGACGGGGTGTTGATTCTCCTAGCTCCACCACCCTTCTGCCAAGGGAACGTGCAAGGCATTAGCAGAGAGTGCGCCATTTGGGACGGACCCCCAACGCTTGCCTTCCTCCACTCTCTCGGAATTACCCCAGTCGGCCCCTTCCTCTGCACGTGGGTCCTAAGAGGCCCCCAAAATGGATGAGATCAAACACCGGGATGCCTTTTGTTTTGGTGAAGATGCAAGGAGAGTTTAAGAGGAGGGGGGAACAGACACCTGAACCCTGGCCTGGCGCTCTTTAAAACCCCTGAACAATTGATTGGAAAGTTTACCCCCCCCTACTCTAGTGACATGCAGCTCCCCCAGGACATTAGGACCAAGTCTTCCTTATCCCCCAAAGGTGTCCCCCACCTCCTGTTGGAAAAGGCAAGTTTCCGGGTGGGTCGAGTGTGTCTCTTTTACACACTTCTGAATGTGGCCATAAGGAAGGAGGCCAAGCTATGGCTAAGAGCGTTCCCCAGCCCCTCTTTGGTTGAGTTTCCCAATGGACACCTTGCCCCTTAGGATGCCTGTCTTTCCCAGGTCCCCTTCTCCCCAAAGTGGCCCTCCTTTGGGGCAGGGGTTGATCTGCCCTCCTCCTGGGTCCCTAGCCTTCTGGGGGAAATCGCTACTGCAGAGTCCAACTCTTGCAGGCAAGCCAGGACGGAAGAGAGAAACATGGCAACAATGGTGAGGAAGCCAACAGCAACCATGCCATGGGAATGTTGTTCCAGCTTGCTTTTCACACAACCATTTCAACACCGCCTCCGTGCGGCTTTTGGAGCTGAAACAAGCCAATGGGCTCGGCGCAGGGTCTCCCTGCCGAAGAGCAAGTCTCTAGAGGCTCAGACTCAACATCCAAGATGAAAGGACGAAGACCACCACTCACAAAAGTCCCGGAATGGTCCCAAAGGAAGCACAGCGGAGAACAAGGCAGGAGCTGTGAGGAAGGGGGGTCTTCTTGGCAGTGTATCAAAATCGGGGATGTGAGGAAGCCTGTTACAAAAGAGTCCAGAGTCTTGTCTTAAAAAGGAAGAGTCATTTTGGCTGCGGGCCACGACCCTGGCCTAGGAGATGAGGTAGTTGAGTAATTGGTCAGGCAAAGTCTTGCAGGGCAGCTCATACCGAAGATTCCTCGGGATTCGAGTCGGGCAGAGCTTGCCTCTGCTTCAACTTCCGACGCAGCTCCTCGGCCAAGTCACTGTAGTCCGGCCGCTCCTCGGTGCCCAAATTAAGGCGGATGTAGCCGTTGGAAGACGAGCCGCGGATGTTGCCCAGATTGATGCGGTTGGGCGAGTGGAGGTGCGGAGACTGCAGGGGCTGGCCGGGAATGCCATTTGTGGTGGGCGAGGGAGTGGTGCCCCCGTTCTGGCACACGGCATGACCCGGGACGATCTTGAGGGAACCGTCCGAGTAGTAGTAGCTGGCGGGGTCCCAGAGCTTCTCGTCAGAGTCTGAGGTGGTGCTGGGAATAAACGTGGGGCTCTTGGGCTCTTTGGGCAGCTCAATGGGGTAGACAAGGGTGCTCTCAATGGCCTTGGAGCCTTTCTCGCGTTCTTCTTTCAGCCTGCGCCTCAGAGAAAAGACCACCAGCAGGAGAACCAGACAGACGGCTGACAGAGCAATCACCACCACCCAGACCAGGCCCAAGTTGTCCAAGGGAGCCCGGGTTTCCATTGACATGGCTGGGTCAGCCAACACAGTGACCTGGTAGCTCTCCGTCATTAGTTCGTTCATCTCCTCTACCTGGATGCACTTGTACAACCCAGAACGCTTCAGGCTGATGTCCAAGACAATCAGTGCCTGAAGATGAGCATCGTAGACAACTGAAGTTTGGTCTTCTGCCAGATCCTGCCCATTGAAGGTCCAAAAGGCCTTAGCAAGGTTGGAGGTGAGCTGGCAAGGTAGCACCAGGTCCATTCCAACCATCGCGGTGATGTTCTTGGAAACGATCTTGGTCCCTGTGGAGAAGTCAAGTAAAAGACAGAAGAATGGACTGGGGTTAATTCTGTTTTTATTGAAAAGTTTCCAACTTCAACATGCCTCCTGAAAATAAGATTTAAAAACTGAAACAAAACAAAGGAAGTCTTTAGCTCAACCTACACAGGTACCCAGTTCTGCTCATGGTGGACATGTGACAGCAGACATACACACTCAGACTTCCCTTCTTTTTTTTAATCCTCTGAGCTGGAATGAAACCAGCTTCTTGATCTCTACAAGCTTCAGTCTACCCAGGATTCTAAACTTTGCAAAGAGCTTATAGAAACGGATGTTAGTTATTTAAAAAGAACCAATGTTGTGTTTTTCAGCCTGATGGGCTCCAAAGTATTTTATGGCCCTTTAAAGCCAAACATCGGCGTTCCTTTTGGTGGTACCAGCTGAGGATTATGAAAACTGAAGTCCAACTCATCTGGAAGATAGTAGCTTGAAAAAAACTGCTCTATGCCTTTAAGGCAGTGGTCCCCAAACTTTCCAGCTTGACGGCCCCGTGGGGAGGGGGGGGGAAAGAGGGGATGGTTCTGTGTGAGTGACAGGCACGCACGTGAGCGTGCACAGCTCCATTTGCAGAAACAGTGGGCACCCACCACTCATGTAGCTTGGTTCCAAATGGACCACGTCCTGGGGGTTGGGAATCCCTGCTTTAAGGTTTAGAAATTGTTTCATAAAATGAATGATGCTCAGAACAGAGTTCAATGCAAGATCAATAGACCTTAAGAAGGTCTGTAGTTTATACATCTGTGTATAAAAGACTAAACTATTTTTAAAATCAAGTGAATCTAATCTGGAGAAAGGGCCGAACAGGGTAGATAGCAGTAAACCAGTGATGGCAAACCTTTTAGAGACCGAGTGCCCAAACTGCAACCCAAAACCCACTTATGCATCGTCGGGTGCCAGGTGGGTGTGGCCCATTGGGCGGGTGTGGCCCACTGGGTGGGTGTGGCTGTGGTGGTAACAGCAGACTGGGTGGGACTAAAAAGTTCAATCAATCAATTCCAACTTTGCAAGATCATTTTTCCCACGAGAAATTGACTGATTGATTGAACCTTTTTTTTTTGCACACGGCGACAGAGGCCTAAAGCAAAAACCCAGCTGAAGGCCTAGGACTGGGGCGACGGCGCACGTGTCCACAGAGAGGGCTCTGCGTGCCGCCTCTGGCACCCGTGCCATAGGTTCGCCACCACTGCAGTAAACCTTCTTTTACTGAGAATACCAGGTTTGGCTTAAGAAACTTTTTGAAAGGATGAAGATGTTTGTGAGGTCCCAGAGCTTGGTCCTTGAAAGGAATTGTTCATGGACTACAAAAGTTGGCTGTGACATAATATTATTTTCACTTAAATTTAGACCATTAATGGAATGTCATGTTGATTCATATCAGCCCTTCAAGATAGACCAGACTAGGAAGTCAAAGTCATGCTGGCCTATACTACTACTACCACACCTAGAATACTACAACCAGTTTTGGTCTCCACACTATAAAAAAAAAAGATGTTGAGACTCTAGAAAAAGTGCAGAGAAGAGCAACCAAGACGATTAGGGGACTGGAGGCTAAAACATATGATGAACCGTTACAGGAACTGGGCATGGCTAGTCTAGTGAAGAGAAGGACCAGGGGAGACATGATAACAGTGTTCCAATATTTCAGGGTCTGTCACAGAGAGGAGGGGGATCAACCTATTTGACAAAGCACCAGAAGGCCAGACAAGGAATAACAGATTGAAACTGATCAAGGAGAAATTCATCCTAAAAATAAGGAGAAATTTTCTGACAGTGAGAACAATCAAGCAATGGAACAGATTGCCTTCAGAAGTTGTGGGTGCGTCATCACTGGAAGCTTTCAAGAAGAGACTGGACTGCCATCGGTCAGAAATGGCATAGGGTCTCCTGCTTGGATGGGGGGTTGGACTAGATGACCTACAAGGTCCCTTTCTATTCTATTCTATTCTATTCTATTCTATTCTATTCTATTCTTATAAAATTACAGTAACTGAATTTTGCAAGTCTCAATGTGCTTCACACACATACCCCCACACACCCATATCTTCGTGAGAATTGAGATTACATTTTGCAAATTACATTTCTGCCCTATCCTCTGATTTCTTTTATCTGATTGTTGTCTTGGTTGCAACTCTTCTTGCTGTTCCTCCAAGTTATTCCTTCTGACCATCACATCTCCAGATGGTTATTTATGATTATCTCTATAATTTAAAAGTGTCTCCTTTTAGGTCATGTTAAAATTACAGATTCGCCTCAGTTCTCAAAAGAGGCTGCGGGGAGATGCCACTGAGTTATATGGCATTGTGAACAATCCTGAGGTCACAAAGGTGTGCTTTAATCTGCCAGGGAAGGTGGCAACTGAGTTTGACCTTAGTGACCATTCTTTGTCTCCTACGGCTTCCTGGCTTCCTTGAGTGGGTGCAATTCTGCTGTGTAGAGCCATAAACATGAAAATACTTTCCCTGTGAATTACGATGTCAGTATAGTCTAGGTTTAAATCAGCAGGGATATTTGTTGTTATGGAGAATGATTTGATTTGTACCACTGGAACATTCTACACTTAAATGCCTTTTAAGCTCCGGAAACTTGCACAATTACACTGCCCAACCATAATCAATTATTCTTCCATGTCTGATCCCATTACATCACTTTAATGGGTTGTTGTGACAACAAGAAAGGGATATTCTTATGGTCTAGGCTGGCATCAAGCTAGGATCAGTTAAAATCTCTCTCGCTCTCTCTCTATGATCCTTGGTAGCTGCAGAATGCAGCCCCCCCTTTTTTAGTATGTTGTGAGAATCAGACTATTTCTTTCTGTTTGTAAGCCCGAGTTGCATGTATTTGTAAGCATGTTGTATCAACCCAACTCTGATCTCCTTTAGGATGTTCTTAGCCCAGCCAGAGAGAATGCAGATGAGTTAGATCTCCTGTTCAAGCATCTGAGAATGATCCCCATTTGCTCTGCGTTTCCCTGTCAGTTTTAATTATTTTTATTGTTCTGCTGTTGTTTCCCCACCACAAGCTAACATGGCTTCCTCTCTGGGAACAATTCAAAATACGTATAAGCAGCTTCCCACTGTTTCTGTCTACAAGGATTTAACACTTGGGTCTTTGCAATCTGAGACCCAAGGCAATAACCCTCCTGTGTCCCAGGAACAGGAAGAAAAGCAACAGCTGCTGACTGTTCCCATAAGCACCAGGGCTCCATTCAGACAAGGTCTTCAATCCCACCGCGGCCAGCAGCAATAACCTCCAGCGCACCTCCCACACGGCTCCCACGGAGGATGAAAGCAACAGTGTGTGAACGCGAAAGGGAGAAGGCTGCACCACATCTGCACTGACAATGCAACAACTGCTGCACTCAGGGAACACACAACAATTGTTCCCACCAGTCCTTGGGATGCTTTTGTTTCCCTCCAGCATCTGTTCATTTCTCTGACTGATAGGGCTTCAGAGCAATTACGATTTCCACGCACTGTTGAACAGAACGTGTACTTTCCTGGCATTATCGGGTTCACTGATGGGAGCCTTCCAATGCGCCGTGAAACCAGTTCGTTTATAGTCACATTTTGAAGTTACAACAGCAATGTGACTTAGGACTATTTTTTAGAGTGACCACCTTTGCAGCATCCCCATGATCAGGTGATCAAAATCCAGATGCTTCGTGTTTATGACGGTCGCATCCCCTTTTGCGACCTCCTCACAAGCAAAGTCAACGGGGGAAGCCAGGCCCACTTAACAAGCCACGAACTTAACAACTGCATTGATTTGCTTAACAATTGTGGCAAGAGAGGTCGTAAAATGGGGCAAAACTCACTTAACAACATGAATTTGGGGCTCGGTTGGGATTGTAAGTGGAGGACTTCCTGTACCGAAGGGATTCTGAAATTGATTAGATTGGCTCCTCCGGGAACTGTCTTGTTTTGAAATTGACAAGCCATCCAGAACAGTATTTCTCCATCTTGGCAACTTTAAAATGTGTGGACTTCAACTTGGCTTTTGTGCTAACTGGAGAATTCTGGGAGCTGAAGTCCACACATCTTACAAGTTGCAGGTTGAGAAAGTCTGATCCACAGTATCCCACCAAACACGGGAACCCTGTTTCTAAAATTCAGGGAGCTTTTTAAAAACAAGGCATTTGAAACGTGCATTTAGGGACTAACGCTATTAACGGGATATGTCTCCCTGCGCTGGGGATGAATCTGGCTGCTCTGATTTTGTGTTGTTATGGTTTCCATGATAACATTATAAATTATGTTGGATTTATTATTATGATTCACTGCACAGTCACGCAGATGTTTAAACTGGATTTGGTATTTTTATTCAGCTATCAACACAAGTCCTTTCCCGAGGACCGGGGATAGGCTGATATGGATGTGTGATGGTGTTAAAGGCATTGTCGCAGGATGTAAGCTATTGCGAACAAAGCTGCCTTTTGCAATTGACTGATGGTGGTTTTGTCAATGCTGATGGTGTTCAAGTGGTGCTCCAGTTGTTTTGGGATTGTTTCCAAGGCGCCTGTTATTGGTGTTATCTTGGCTTTCTTTTGCCACATTGTTGTTGTTGTTGTTATTTGCACCCTCAGCCAGATGTTCAGACTGGATTTGGCATTTTTATCCACCTATCGAGTCCTATTATTATTTCATATTTGGGGTATAGTAACTTTGATTTACTATATTGTTATAGACTGTCTGTTTTGTCAGCATCCATTTAGAGTCAGGTGATTGAAGGGCCCTAAAACCACTTGCAATAAATTTTTTAAAATGCATTTAAGAGGAAGACAGGCAGACAAATAGAATGCAGGATGATGGGAGGGATCCTTCTTTCCCCAAGGAGCTGGTAGACAAAACAGTTGCCTTCTTAAAAAAAAAAACCTACTTCAAATGAGCAAGGATAAAGATTTAAAGCACATCTGCAAATGGAAAACTGAACTTCAAAGAGAGAGAGGGAGGGAGAGAGAGAAAGAGAGAGAGAAAGAGAGAAGAGAGACAGAGAGAGCAAGAGAGATTGAGATTGAGGAAGAAAGATCGAGAGAAAGAGAAAGAGAGAGAAAGCTTGAGAGAAAGAGCAAGAGAGAAAGATTGCAAGAGAAAGAGATTGAGAGAGAGAGCAGGAGAGAGAGAGACTGAGAGAAAGAGATTGTGAAAGAAAGAGAAAGATTGAGAGAGAGAGAGATTGAGAGCAAGAGAGACCAAGAGAGAGAGATTGAGAGAGAGATTAAGAGAGTGAGAGAGAGAAAGAGAAAAAGAGAGAGAAGAGAGATCAAAACTCACAGCAGCCACTGAATCTTGCGCTGCAGGGTTACTAGTTGCTAAGAATGTGGAGCACGTTCCTGTTCTGTAGTTTATGAGGTATGCGCCTGCAGCTTGCGTTTGATGCGCAGGTAATACTATGCGGTATTGTCTGCCACGAGCACCCAGCCGCTGTGAGAAAATGGTTGCAATCACAGAGCTTCTTGCACAAGAGGCAACACTTTTGATCCTGCCAAGAGTTCATTTTGACTCACTCAGCCAGGCAGCGGAGGGCTCTAACCTCTCCTCTCCTCTTCCTAACCAACCACACAGAACTGTTCAGACAACAAAAGCACCTGCGTTTGTGCGGACGGTCCTAGACAGCTAGGTATAAATACTGGGGGGATCAAAAGTCAATCTCCATCACAGTCCTTCAGCTGGCTTTTTAAAAGACAACATTGTGTTGATAAGAGCTTCAGGATTATATTTCAGGACGTCAGTAGCAATAATAGGAGAGCAGTGAAAATCACCCAAGGGGTTAGTATTTGTTTGGATGACTGACCTGGTCTGGAAGAACGCAAGGGGTTACACATCATGGGCTCCGTCCCCAAATCTTGGAACAACACTGAGGTCCTGTAAAAGCCGAAAACAAATCCCATCACATGATTTGTGGCAGGGGACAAACAGGACAAGGCTAAGCAACAGCCCTGAGGAATAATTTAAAGGCAATGTTTCTCAGCCTTGGCCACTTTTAAGATGCGTGGACTTCAACTCCCAGAATTCTCCCAGCCAGCAATGCTGACTGGGGAATTCTGGGAGTTGAAGTCCATGCAACTTAAAAGTGACCAAGATTGAGAAACACTGATCTAAGGATTAGAAAGAACAGGACCACAACCGGACTCACGGTCGGACCTGCCACAACTTAAACCTCTGAATAAAAATGATCCTTGGATCCATTTGCTGAGAAAAGTATAGTTTATTAGAGATCAAGTGTATTGCATTACTGCAATAATTACTGTTTTTTATAATGGTCAGTCCCAGGAGTAGTTTGGTATGTGCCCCCCCCCCTTCTCCCAGCTGGGTGACCTTGAGGCAGCATCTCGAGAAGATACAGCCCTTACTTTCATTTCTCCAAGCATTCCCCCGCTTCATTCCCCTCTCCCCACCCCATAGTAGCGGAGTAAAGGCAAGCATAAGATGGCAGCTGACACACGTACAAGTTTCCCTGTTCAAATGCAGCATTTTAGCATTCAAAGGCTACAGCCTTATTTAGAAAGATCAGGTTTCTAGACCTTATGGTTCCAGGAGGAAAAAGGCTCTGTAAACTGCCCCAACTGCCCTTTCATATCTTACCCATCATAAGCATCAATCCGGACGCAGCGACTTCCATTCCAAGTCCAAGCACAGTAAGGGTCCTTGGCGAGAATACAGTCGGAGCATGTCCGGTACTTGCTGCAGTTGGCCACGGGGACCTGGATGACTTGTGTGTTGGAGCCAATAAAAAGGACTCTCTTGAGAACGGGAAAGAAGAATTAAGGTAAGTCCTTGCTTAACAACTGGTCACTCAATGACTGCTAAAAATTATGACGAACCCCTTAAAAGATACTTGGGACTGGATTCAAAGTTCTGAAGGCCGCCCTCACCACCGCAGTGATCCGTCAATTAGGAAAGAAAGACTCCTGGCCCATATTTAAGCCAAAAGTAAACTTTACTAAACCCAAAGTGGTTACAGAAGAGGCAAAGCTGGATCTGAGATTTTCAAGCACAAAAGATACGCTTAACTTTTCCTTTGCTCGCGGTCAACCCCCTGGTTATCTGTCAGTGTCCAATTAGGAGTTAACAAATTATTTGGGAAATAGTCCCTGTCTTCTTTTGTGACCCTGAGACGTCTGGTGCTTCTCGTGGGACAATCAGGCTTGGGTTTGTTCCCTTCCACTCCTGATGTCAGGCTGTCAGCTTGCGATGCGTAGCTCAGCAGAATGGCACCCATGACATGACCACAGTTTGGCCACTCAGCAGCCGGCTTACATTTGCAGCATCTTGTACCGTGTTTTATGACGGTTTCTCTCCCCCCCCCCCCCAGAAACTGACATTTACTTCTGGTTTCTGGGGGAAAATGGACATTGCAGACAATGGGCTCACTTAACAACCATTGCATTTGCTTAACAACTGTCACAAAAAATATATATATCCTAAAAATGGGTTAGTCATACGGATGACCTGCTAAACAACCAGCATGATTTGTGATAATAATTCTGGGCTCCATTATAGCTGTAAGTTGAGGACTCCCTGTAGCAGAGTAAGACTTTTCCAATCTCGATCCATTCTAACACTTAGGAGACCTGAAAAAAAATCACTGTCCACTTTCTAAAAGCCGGGTTGGGGGGAGGGGTGGGGGTCCTATGTGTGCCCAACAGACTAAGACACAAGGCCTTCTGCCAGACGTGGCATCCTAGACGTGGCAACGGGTGGAAACTAATCAAGGAGAGAAGCAATCTAGAACTAAGGAGAAACTTCCTGACAGTGAGAACAATTAACCAGTGGAACCACCTGCCTCCAGAAGCGGTGAATGCTCCAACACTGGAAGTTTTTAAGAAGAGACTGGACAGCCATTTGTCCGAAATGGTATAGGGTTTCCTGCCTGAGCAGGGGGTTGGACTAGATGACCTTCAAGGTCCCTTCCAACTTTACTACTACTACTACTATTATTATTATTATTATTATTATTATTATTATTATTATTATTATTATTATTATTATTATTTCTGTTCGTTCAGTCAACGAAGCTTCTAGGCCTGATGAATAACTTGATGGGTTTGGTTTGCAGGCAACTTCTGAGGGAACTTTTGACATCAGAAAGAGTCGGTGGCTTCCATAATTCCGTCTCACGGGCCAAGTCCAAATCTTATGCTGGATCAGGGCAAAGCTGGCATGTGGTTCAATGTCCTTTGGAAATCCAGACAGTGCCTTAGCCAAACCATCACCTTAAACCAGGGGTAGGCAACCTCGGCTCTTTTATGACTCATGGACTTCAATTCCCAGAATTCCTGAGTCAGCATAGCTGACTCAGGAATTCTGGGAGTTGAAGTCCATGAGTCATAAAAGAGCCGAGGTTGCCTACCCCTGCCTTAAACCAGCTGATTCACTTGGGTGCAGTATGTGAGAGAACCCCAGCCGTTCCGTTAAGCCACCTTGGCCTCGGGCCTAGCGCATTCTGTGAACCCGGGGACTCTGCTATGCCATGCCTTCCCAGTTCCTGACGAGTAACTTTCTCCTCTTACTTGATGCCTTTTGTTCCACCAGATCCTTATCACCGGCAGACGCCTTTGCGTACCAATTATCAGATATAAGCTAATGGCTTTATTCTGGGTTGGGTTGGGTTGGTGAGGCTATGTGGTGTGTACAGCGAGGACAGCCCTGGGAGATGGCATCAGTACTATCTGAAATTTCAACTTTGTTCTATGTAGCAATGTTTCCCAGGTGTGAGTCTGCAGAGAACCACCATAATAACATCTCAAGGATGTGTCTGAAGACATCATCATGCAAATGCAAACACAAACACTTCCGGATTTCTGATGCAACAAAACTCACAATGACATCCCCGTGCACACCAGTTCCAATCTGTCTCCCACCTACAGATCCTTATTTTTTTTCCCCCAATGGCACCAGGACTTCAGTGTCCAATTCTTCACAGATACTGTGCCCAAGACTCTTTCTTACCTTCGGTACTGACAACACCAGACTCTTGATGGGTTGGGCTTCCTCAAAAACCTGCAGTTCTTCTATGAGGTGGACACCTGAAGGCAAGGCCACCGCCTTGTGTAACCAGCCGTTCTCTGCACACAAAAAAAAACACAGATCAGGTGACAATTCAGTGACTGTAAGAACCTCCCTCCTTAGGAGACTTCGTAGCTTGGTGGAAAAACACAATTTTAAAGTTGCATCGTTTAGAGTTGGATGGCCGTTTGAATGCTTTTAAGTACACAAACATCCTCTTTTCATCCTTCTAATTGCCAGAAGGATCCAATTCCCAAATCAACCTCATGAATGGCACTTAGGGTGCCCCCATCCCTCCACATGCCGGCCGTTCAGCTCCCTGCATGCGAACATCAGTCATAATTATTTGCATTGCCTTCTCTTAAGAGACACTTTTGCAGTCCAGCTAGACGAAACGCGTGAGGCCACGTTTCAAATGAGCTGTTGGGTTATTGCAATTTATACTTCTTGCTTCGCTGTTCCTTTTTGGGGGGGGGGGCTTTAATCGCTTTCTGCTGAACGCATCAAAAGAAGGATTTGTTTATTAAAAAAAAAATCAGCTAAGTGGTTAGAAGAAGCAATTAAAAACATCGCTTGCCCCGCTTAAAAATACTCCTTGATGAAGAGAGTTGTGATTTATTCACTTTGAAATTGCTAATAATAAAAATGGCAGATGAGAAGCTCCGTCTCCAAGGGGGCATTTCACACTTGGTTGACAAACAGGAGGAAATGCTTCTCGTCAGTCAGCCCTCCTAAAAATTTGTCTCCCGTCTCTGATCAATTTTTAACTAGCAGAACTGAAGGGGAAATGTCTGCCGAACCCTTGCAAGAGAAGGCAAACTATTTTTTCCTGATTAACTTTTATGAGAGAGTCAGCAGAAGTGGTTTTAGGGCCAGAAAAAGTATCACTTAAACGCTAACATAAAAAGGCTCATGGATGCCCATTGCGCTGAAGCATAAAATGACTTCTTTTTTTTGTGCCTTTGAGTTAGTTTTGACTCCTGCTGATTACAGCTAGTCATAGCAGTTCATTCAGTGACCGTTCAAAGTTACAACGGCACGGACAAAAGTGACTTATGACCAGCTTTCACACATACGACCGTTGCAGCATCCCCAGGGTCACGTGATCCAAATTCAGACGCTTCGCAACTGGTTCACATTTACGACTGTTGCTGCGTCCCAGGGTCACGTGATCTGCTTTTGCAGGGGTGTGGGTCTATACATATGCTGTATATAGTATGTTTAGGTGTGTGTCATGTATGTGTTTCACTTTGAGAGCGGGCAACTAAATTTCATTTTTGATGTATGCCGTTGTGCCCACGGTAAAAAAATGACAATAAAGGTTATCTATCTATCTATCTATCTATCTATCTATCTATCTATCTATCTATCTATCTATCATCTATCTATCTATCTATCTATCTATCTATCTATCTATCTATCTATCTATCTATCATCTATCTATCTATCTATCTATCTATCTATCTATCTATCTATCTATCTATCTATCTATCTATCTATCTATCTATCTATCTATCTATCTATCTATCTATCTATCTAATCTATCTATAATCCCTTCAGTCTTTTGGGCAGTATTTTTAGACATGTTTTGCTTTTATCTTCCCAGAGCGAGGGCCCAGTCCAGTAGTGCCCAACTGGCTTTGTGCCTAAGGCAGGACCGGAACTCATGGTCTTCTGGTTTCTATCCTGTTGCCTTTAACCACCAGGCCAGGGGTAGGCAATCTTGGCTCTTTTTTGACTCGTGGACTTCAACTCCCAGAATTCCTGAGCCAGCCATGCTGAGGGGAAAGGGAGAGGTTTCCAAGCTGAGCCATGCTGGCTCAGGAATTCTGGGAGTTGAAGTCCACGAGTCATAAAAGAGCCAAGGTTGCCTACTCCTGCACTAGGCAAACGGGCTCTCGATAAAATAACTAAGATTAAAAATTAGCCAACAAAAAATGTAACTGCTGAAACTTGGATTGACCCAGCGAGACATTTTTACGAGGACACCGCTGTAATTCTGACCTCCTCCCTCAGCCCGTACCTGTCCCGATGTACAGCACTTCGTATGGTTTGCCATCCAACCCATGAACTCTTTCCACCACTAGCTGGGTGAAGTTGGCATCCTTCTTGACCAGCAAGGGCTGGTTGCCCTGGGGGGGCACGGCCTTATCCATCAGCGGGTGCTTCTTTGCAAAGTTCAGGGTGTTGTCTGGGAGCTCCAGGGAGGTGGAGAAACTGTTGTACCGGTGCCAGTTTGTGATACACTGGAACAAAAGACCAAGAGAAGCAGGATTTAGAGTAGAGCTTCAGCTACAGAGACTTAGCAAAAACTTGTCAATTCCTCACCAAGAGGAGGGGTCTCGGGCCAGAAGAAGTGTGATTATCTAGGGCAGGGGTCTTCAAACTTGGCCCTTTTATGACTTGTGGACTTCAACTCCCAGAATTCCTCAGCCAGGCAGTCATAAAAGGGCCAAGTTTGAAGAGCCCTGGTCTGGATCCAAGCCCGCAGTTTCATCAAAATGGCCGACTGAGGAATTCTGGGAGTTGAAGTCCACAAGTCATCAAAGGGCCAAGTTTGAAGACCCCTGGATTAAATGGACCAAGATAATCAGATTATCCTCACAGCTGTCCCTTTCCTCACAGCTGGTCCTAGCACTAGCCCAGGGGTCTTCAAACTTGGCNGCGGTGAATGCTCCAACACTGGAAGTTTTTAAGAAGAGACTGGACAGCCATTTGTCCGAAATGGTATAGGGTTTCCTGCCTGAGCAGGGGGTTGGACTAGATGACCTTCAAGGTCCCTTCCAACTTTACTACTACTACTACTACTACTACTACTACTACTACTACTACTATTATTATTATTATTATTATTATTATTATTTCTGTTCGTTCAGTCAACAAAGCTTCTAGGCCTGATGAATAACGTGATGGGTTTGGTTTGCAGGCAACTTCTGAGGGAACTTTTGACATCAGAAAGAGTCGGTGGCTTCCATAATTCCGTCTCACGGGCCAAGTCCAAATCTTATGCTGGATCAGGGCAAAGCTGGCATGTGGTTCCATGTCCTTTGGAAATCCAGACAGTGCCTTAGCCAAACCATCACTTTAAACCAGGGGTAGGCAACCTCGGCTCTTTTATGACTCATGGACTTCAATTCCCAGAATTCCTGAATCAGCATAGCTGACTCAGGAATTCTGGGAGTTGAAGTCCATGAGTCATAAAAGAGCCGAGGTTGCCTACCCCTGCCTTAAACCAGCTGATTCACTTGGGTGCAGTATGTGTGAGAACCCCAGCCGTTCCGTTAAGCCACCTTGGCCTCGGGCCTAGCGGATTCTGTGAACCCGGGGACTCTGCTATGCCATGCCTTCCCAGTTCCTGACGAGTAACTTTCTCCTCTTACTTGATGCCTTTTGTTCCACCAGATCCTTATCACCGGCAGACGCCTTTGCGTACCAATTATCAGATATAAGCTAATGGCTTTATTCTGGGTTGGGTTGGTGAGGCTGTGTGGTGTGTACAGCGAGGACAGCCCTGGGAGATGGCATCAGTACTATCTGAAATTTCAACTTTGTTCTATGTAGCAATTTTTCCCAGCTGTGAGTCTGCAGAGAACCACCATAATAACATCTCAAGGATGTGTCTGAGGACATCATCATGCAAATGCAAACACAAACACTTCCGGATTTCTGATGCAACAAAACTCACAATGACATCCCCGTGCACACCAGTTCCAATCTGTCTCCCACCTACAGATCCTTATTTTTTTCCCCCCAATGGCACCAGGACTTCAGTGTCCAATTCTTCCCAGACACTGTGCCCAAGACTCTTTCTTACCTTCGGTACTGACAACACCAGACTCTTGATGGGTTGGGCTTCCTCAAAAACCTGCAGTTCTTCTATGAGGTGGACACCTGAAGGCAAGGCCACCGCCTTGTGTAACCAGCCGTTCTCTGCACAAAAAAACCACACAGATCAGGTGACAATTCAGTGACTGTAAGAACCTCCCTCCTTCGGAGACTTCGTAGCTTGGTGGAAAAACACAATTTTAAAGTTGCATCGTTTAGAGTTGGATGGCCGTTTGACTGCTTTTAAGTACACAAACATCCTCTTTTCATCCTTCTAATTGCCAGAAGGATCCAATTCCCAAATCAACCTCATGAATGGCACTTAGGGTGCCCCCATCCCTCCACATGCCGGCCGTTCAGCTCCCTGCATGCGAACATCAGTCATAATTATTTGCATTGCCTTCTCTTAAGAGACACTTTTGCAGTCCAGCTAGACGAAACGCGTGAGGCCACGTTTCAAATGAGCTGTTGGGTTATTGCAATTTATACTTCTTGCTTCGCTGTTCCTTTTTTTTTTTTTTTTTTTGGCTTTAATCGCTTTCTGCTGAACGCATCAAAAGAAGGATTTGTTTATTAAAAAAAAATAATCAGCTAAGTGGTTAGAAGAAGCAATTAAAAACATCGCTTGCCCCGCTTAAAAATACTCCTTGATGAAGAGAGTTGTGATTTATTCACTTTGAAATTGCTAATAATAAAAATGGCAGATGAGGAGCTCCGTCTCCAAGGGGGCATTTCACACTTGGTTGACAAACAGGAGGAAATGCTTCTCGTCAGTCAGCCCTCCTAAAAATTTGTCTCCCGTCTCTGATCAATTTTTAACTAGCAGAACTGAAGGGGAAATGTCTGCCGAACCCTTGCAAGAGAAGGCAAACTATTTTTTTCTGATTAACTTTTATGAGAGAGTCAGCAGAAGTGGTTTTAGGGCCAGAAAAAGTATCACTTAAACGCTAACATAAAAAGGCTCATGGATGCCCAATGCGCTGAAGCATAAAATGACGTCTTTTTTTGTGCCTGTGAGTTAGTTTTGACTCCTGCTGATTACAGCTAGTCCTTGACTTGTAACAGTTCATTCAGTGACCGTTCGAAGTTACAACGGCACGGACAAAAGTGACTTATGACCAGCTTTCACACATACGACCGTTGCCGCATCCCCAGGGTCACGTGATCCAAATTCAGACGCTTCGCAACTGGTTCACATTTACGACCGTTGCCGCGTTCCAGGGTCACGTGATCTGCTTTTGCAGGGGTGTGGGTCTATACATATGCTGTATATAGTATGTTTAGGTGTGTGTCATGTATGTGTTTCACTTTGAGAGCGGGCAACTAAATTTCATTTTTGATGTGTGCCGTTGTGCCCACGGTAAAAAAATGACAATAAAGGTTATCTATCTATCTATCTGTCTGTCTGTCTGTCTGTCTGTCTATCTTTCTATCTACATTTCTATCTATCTATCTATCTATCTATCTATCTATCTATCTATCTATCTATCTATCTATCTATCTATCTATCTATCTATCTATCTATCTATCTATCATCTATCTATCTATCTATCTATCATCTATCTATCTATCTATCTACCAGTGGCTTTCCGGGTGCGCTTTAAGGTGTTAGTTACCACCTTTAAAGCGCTCCATGGCATTGGGCCTGGATATCTCCGAGACCGCCTTCTGCCACAGATTCCCTCCCACAGACCGGTACGCTCCCACAGAGCGGGCCTCCTCAGGGTGCCGTCGGCCAAGCAATGTCGGCTGGCGACCCCCAGGGGGAGGGCCT